TATTGTATTTTTTTTTTATTATTACTATTATTGTTGTCTATTCAAAGGTCATATCTTAAAACAAACCATATACTCCTACTACTAAAAAAATATTATTTATTAAAATTACTAAAATTATATTATTAAAATTATTATATGTAAATAATAATGCAATATAATGTATATTATAAACTATATTAATGATTATATATGATAGTAATAATACAATTATTATTATATAATTAATAATGTAATATATATTTTAATTATGTTGTATTATTATATATAATCAAAAGTCATATAATAAAATAATCAATAATAATAAATCATGAGTCAAGTAAACAGCAAAACATCCTGAAACAACAATTAATAGTTTGGTTTTTAGGTAAACATTCAACAATAACTTTTACACTATATGCTTTGAAAGGTTCAATCGTCTCCTGTAATGCCACAGCGCTGCAGTGAAGGATATAATGGAGCGTGTACCAGAGCGACCTCAGCTGCGGGTCGTCTCCTCCGGCCAGCATGTGGTTCCTCCACACCTGCATGGTGTCATGGCCGTAAGTTCTCTGACAAGCTACACAATATATATATGTATATATATATATATATATATATATATATATATATAATTACTATTACAGCCAATTAAATTAACTAAAACTAATAATAAAAATAAATAAACACTATGTCATTTATGTCAGATGTTATATAAATATATATATTTTATTTTTATTGCATTGCATGTTTTTATTTTTATTTTATTTTTGCAGTACAGGAACTGTGGAGGAAAGTGTGGTTAATTGGCATAAAAATAATGCCACTGAGCAAAAAAATCTTTAAAAAAGGCTTCATTTTTGCTGCAAAATATAATTCCTCTGACCAGTTCTTGACATGTCAGTGTCACTGGCTGGACAATTTTCCTCCAGTCCAGTCCTGTACCTTTCTCTGCTGAAGCTCCTTTGTTAAGAATCTGAATGGCCCGTCGGATGTCCAGGTTAAAGAGAGCGACAGCAGCGGCTCTCTCCCACTCGCCCTCCTGCTCCAGCTTGACATGTCAGTGTCACTGGCTGGACAATTTTCCTCCAGTCCAGTCCTGTACCTTTCTCTGCTGAAGCTCCTTTGTTAAGAATCTGAATGGCCCGTCGGATGTCCAGGTTAAAGAGAGCGACAGCAGCGGCTCTCTCCCGCTCGCCCTCCTGCTCCAGAGACTTCAGGAAGGGCTCCACATCGATGTCAGGCCCTCGACTGATCCAACCACACAGCTGCAGAGCCAGACTGCGCTCCTCGCTGTGGTACCGCGGTACATCGGTCTGCCTGTCTGAACCCGACCAGCAGTGCCGTGTCTCTGTAGTGCCTGAGAGAGAGACATTTCTTTAGAGGGCCTCCAGTGAAAGATACCGTGAGGCTGACTGAGGCATTTAGCAGATATCTATGAGAAATACTTCTACTGTACAGAGCAAATACTTTTGCTCATCTGTACAACAATCATCATTATGTTCACAGAAAATGTGATCAGAACAGATATTGTGCTGTTTGCACTTACCAGAGCTGGACTTGACGATGTTTTTGATGCCTGAGTAGATGAGCGACTGTTTATTGCTCTGTTGCTTCTGCTCCACATTTTCAGTGTACTGTTTCATAAGTAAAACTTGCATAGGAAATATAGAGATATCAAACAGAACAATACCATATAAACAAGAATATGACAACATGAAAATGAACCAATCACTCCAGTGATTAACAAATAGTAAATTCATAAGAATTGTGTACATTTCTCAAAAGAATTTCATGTTAATTAAGTTGTTAAAACTGATATCTTTTTGTTTAACAATGTGTAGTTTACAATGTCAGATGCCACAGACTGTTTCATTCAAAAATATTTTTTTTTACGTGAAATTACAGAAAAAATCTAATGCAATTTTCTGAATTTTTTTTTGAATAAGATGTAAAGCAGACCAGACTTTATGCTAAACTACTAAAAAGTTGTCTATTCAAAGGTCATATCTTAAAACAAACCATATACTCCTACTACTAAAAAAATATTATTTATTAAAATTACTAAAATTATATTATTAAAATTATTATATGTAAATAATAATGCAATATAATGTATATTATAAACTATATTAATGATTATATATGATAGTAATAATACAATTATTATTATATAATTAATAATGTAATATATATTTTAATTATGTTGTATTATTATATATAATCAAAAGTCATATAATAAAATAATCAATAATAATAAATCATGAGTCAAGTAAACAGCAAAACATCCTGAAACAACAATTAATAGTTTGGTTTTTAGGTAAACATTCAACAATAACTTTTACACTATATGCTTTGAAAGGTTCAATCGTCTCCTGTAATGCCACAGCGCTGCAGTGAAGGATATAATGGAGCGTGTACCAGAGCGACCTCAGCTGCGGGTCGTCTCCTCCGGCCAGCATGTGGTTCCTCCACACCTGCATGGTGTCATGGCCGTAACGCAACTGCGCTCGCTCCCTCATCTTAGTGGCGATGTCCTTCTCAGTAGCGGCCACCCCCTGACCGGCGTCCTCCGCGCACTCGTACAGGTGCCGCCCGCACGCCCACATCAGCGCCGTGGTGGAGCTCCAGGCCAGCGATATGCGCTCGAAGACGGTGAAGTCGTTCATGACCCGGTTGGGCGACACCACCACCATGCGGTTCTGGGCGGACGGATGCCAGGCAAAGCTGCTGATGATGCTCTCGCTGCAGGGCTGGACGCTGCGCTCGATGATGGTGGGCTCAACCTCGTCGCCGAACGGCATGGGCGTGTGCTGCATGTCGTACAGCCGGATGATGTTGCTGTCCCGCGTGAGCGTGGCCAGCAGGCCCATGCGAGTGCGACACCATGCCACTTTAGTCAAAGGTTTGGACTGCTCGGTCAAAGTAAAGACCGGTTTTTCGAATTTGCGCAAATCCCAGATGGCCACCTGGCCTTCGAAGAAGGACGCAACGCGATCCTGAAAGTGAGGATCCACCGTTACGCCCTGGATGGCTTTGGTGTTCACAAACGTCTTCTGGCTGGTGTTGCGCAGGTCAAAGATGGCCAGATTTCGATGCATCCCAGCCAGAAGTAACTTTTGATGATCGCGAGGGAGCCAACAAAGAGAAAGACATGCATCGTTCTGTCCGAGCTCATACAGCGGTTTGGTCACCACCAACCCAGAGTCCACGTCTCCAGACAGACGAACCTTCTCAGCAGGAACTGCTTCGGGGGAAAACCTCTTTACCCACCAGCTCCTTACATTTGGAGTTATGGCTCTGTCCCAGACTGGTCAGGACGACTCGTCCGTTGGCCTGTCCCACAGCCAGCAAACACTCCGGCTCTTGTTTGGGATACCAGGCCACACATTTCATATACGGGGTGTCGGAGTTGATGGCCAGCAGCGTGGCCGCCGTCTCCTCGGATAGCGGAAGGGCGCCGGCTTTGGTCTCCGAGCTTCCTGCAGGTCCGATCCGATACAGACTGAGTTCAGTGTCGCAGATCACATAGCGGTCTGCGTGATGGGGAGACCACAGGATATCGGGCTTATAGCCGCTCGACATGGCAGGACAGTGGTTTGTTCAGTGCAGATACCTGCGAATGATAAAGATTCTTATTTACATAGCACTTACACACCTCACCTATTTTACCTATACTTGGATTAATTCATACATTTATACATATATATATATATATATTAATAATGTTAAATATTATTAAATATTATATATATAATAATTAATAATGTTAACCCTAACCCTAACTTATATATAAGTATATGTCTGGGCATATATGTGGGCATACATATTCCGTATCATAATATAATATGTATCTACGTAATATAATGCTATTATTAAAAAATGTTAGTTACAAATAATTAATATTATTAATAATTATTATTGATTATAATAAAATCATTATATTATGTATATATAAATACACACACATGCATGTATATATTTAAGAAAAATATGTTATGTTTATATATTAAATCTATTTTTATATAATATAAAAATAAGAATATAAATATGTAAATGTTTATACATGTAAATATTTTCAAAATATATACTGTATGTGTGTGTATTTATATATACATAATAAATATACACAGTACACACACATATATTATGTAAATAAAAACGTTTATTTTGGATGCGATTAATCATTTGACAGCACTAGTTACTACTATTATTATTTTTACTATATTAAGTTCCATATCAGTTACAAAATATTATTACTTGCCTATAAGGCCCTTAATGGGTTAGCTCCTGCGTACCTAACTAGTCTTCTACCACGCTACAATCCACGCTACCTAAGGTCGCAAAACTCTGGACTTCTGGTAGTACCTAGGATAGCAAAGTCCACTAAAGGAGGTAGAGCTTTTTTGCATTTGGCTCCCAAACTCTGGAATAGCCTTCCTGATAACGTTAAGAGAAAATTCAAGTAGATTGTTAAAGCCATAATGTGTTGAAATAAACATTAAATTAAATAAAATCATTAATATGATCGCCTCACGATTCTATCACTTCGTGTTAAGATGTAAATATTAAATAACTGGAGAAAAAATAAAACCGCTTTTTGAAAAAGAGGTAAAGCGTGAAAATGTTCTTTTAACTTGTAATAACAGTGAGTTAGCCGGTTAGCTATAGCTAAACTAACCATTTCAACCTTTTCTAAACCGGAAACAGCTAATGACAGACGCCAGCCACTACATGAAGACACTGAATAACCCATGCTTTAAATTATAAATAAATGACAGCTGTGTTCATGAGCGTTTGATAAATATAAACTCACATTTGTCACGTGCAAGCATGCTGAAGTTTGTTTAGGTAGCGTGAAGTCGGAAGCAGTGCAGACTCTAAACACAACGTGACAGAAACACACAAAATAAAAGTCCCACTCCGTTTAACCAATATAACAGGCATCGACGAGCAGAGGACGAACGAGGATTATATTAATACAAGTGGAGAACTAAACCTAATAACGTCTGGCTCAACAGTCAAGTCTTCCATAAGATAAACAAATTAAATTAAATCAAACGTGAAATAGAGATAAGTAAACCTATTGTCGCCACATACACACAAAAACAATGCTCTGGTAAATCTTAATTATGCCATAAAAAGTCACAATTGTGAGATTACAACGTCAAAATGATGTCAGAATATCTAAAAAAAAAAAAGTATGAGATAAATGTCTAAATTATGAGAAAAATAACACTATGACATGAAAAGTCGAATTTTGTCGTAACTGCACATTTATATCTCATACGTTTGACTTTTCATGTAAACTTATCATGAAATTACGACTTAATGTTATAGTCATACATAATGTTATACATTACAATGTCAATATGTCACATTTCTATATCACAATTATGTATTTTTGTGATAATTTTGACTTTTTGTGACCATTTTGAACTTTTATTTCAGAATGATTGACTTTCTGTCAAAATGTTGTCATAATTATGACTTTCTATGACTTAGTATCTCATAATTTCAACTTTGTTATATTTTCTTATGTGGTGGAAGCTCTATTTTAAATTTTGGTATGAAAGCTTCACTGCCCTCTACAGGTTTAGTCATGCAAAGTTTAGTGATAATGTTCATTTGGGGGGGATCACAACAACAAACAGCTTATTTGGAATTAGTGATTAGTAAAGGTTTTGATATGACTTCATAAAGCTATAAAAATTGTATTAAAAAGTAATCAAAAATAATAATAATAATAATTTGTGTTTCACAAAAATACATGCAAACAAGTTTTGGAACAACATGAGGATGAGTAATTAATGAAATATGTTTGGGTGAACTATCTCTTTAAAAGTCTTGGAACTCTTCAGATGAGTCACATCTCAGGAGGTTCCTGCATGTTTTCCAGATTTCACAGGGGCGCCGTTTATATGAATTGTTGTCAAGAAGCTTTTGGGGGAAATGTTATCATCCTCCAAACAATCTCTCAGCATTCATCTCCAAAGCACGTAAACATGAGAAAAGAGTAGAGAGTTTACATTGCTTAACTCCTGTTCAACGTCACACTGCATTACCAAAATACATAATAAAGTTGATTTATTATATTTTTATACTATAATACAACAGGTGTACTATAAATGTATTTCATTGTATTAGTGTGAGCCTGAAATTATGTAAATAAACTTTTTTTTTTCTCCCAGAGTTATGGCTGTCCTGCGCTATACAGTGTGTGTGTGTGTGTGTGTGTGTGTGATGTGTGTACTTGTTTTTCTATTCTGGTGGGGACTTAAACCTGAATACACACAGACTCATGGGGACTTGTGTCACGGTGGGGACCTAAATTGAGGTCCCCACGGGTAAACAAGCTAATAAATCACACAGAATGAATTTTTTTGAAAATCTAAAAATGCACAAAGTTTCCTGTGAGGGGTAGGTTTAGGTGTAGGGCAATAGAATATACGGTCTGTACAGTAGAAAAACTATTACGCCTATGGAGAGTCCCCACAGGGATAGCAAACCAGACATGTGTGTGTGTGTTCAGTCAGGCATCAGATTGTTGGGACTGTGATGTTGGGCTGATGTTCAGCGCAGGACTGAAGTCAGTCAGAACAGAATGTGCTCCATACAGGAGACATGAGCATGTGGATGCTCCCTAGATTTGCACAACAGGCAAAGTAAGTGCTTTATCTTTTCTTCATATTATTGTTCTGATATTAGTTTCACTCATTTTGAGATATTATAACCTGCTTAAAACATTTCAGAATTATATGACAAAACTAAACATAGAATTGAACATCGCATCTGACCTTATTGCATGATGTATTTGTTTGATCTGTAAACAACATGCATGTCATTGTTTAAAGTGTTTTGATGCACAAGTTCTGATTCATCACCTGATTTATTAAACTTTATTACATTTGTTCAAAAATGTCCAAGGACCAGCTTGTGGTAGCATTAAAAGTGTATATTCATCAAACAAGAAAATGATTTTTTTAGTCACTTGTGTTGGTCTTTGTAATGCACAATATGCACCATGAACACATTTTAAAGATGCACAGAAGGTCTGAAGGATTTTTCTTTGATCGTCTTTAAGGTTATATATGAATGAAAGCATGGCCAAAGGGTTTATTGTGTGCCTGCTGCTTTGGCTGCTTGTACCTGCGGCCAGATGCCAGAACAGAAGACAGTCTGGAGAAACACTGAACCTCACCACAAATCAGGACAATGGTAAATGCATCAGTGTTTCATTCAGTGTCAGAGTATCGTTTATTGTGTTGGCTTAGTATTGCATGTAAAAAAATGAATGTTAGATATCTTTAATATCTCAATAGTTTCTTCTAGACAATAATAAGAGTAACTAAAAGCCTTTTTTTTTCAGGAAAAGTCCAAAAGTCTCAAGACAAACCAGATAGGCTAAACTTTTCTTAAATTGTTATGATGGTAATATAACTTGTGATGGGAATTTTTTAGACTCAATTAGAAAAAAGGCAAAATAAAATCATTTTCGTGAGGGGTCTTTTGTACCCCATCACTCTAAACCCTATAAAGCCTACTGTATCATATTTGATACACAAATTTCTAAGCACTCTAAATGGTCAAAACTGCACTAAAACCCTTTTGTACACGATCTACTACATGCCTTCTGTCTCTGTTAGATTGTTTCGACTTTTAACAATTAAAAGGCCTTTTAATATGATTGTAAAATCTTCCACCTTCAGGTTGTGGTTCACCTGTCTTTTTGTTGTGAAATTTTTACGGATTTTTAGAAAGTAAACATGAATAATTTTTATATCTTTAGTAATATTGCAAGATGAACACTTACTGGACTTAAGCAGCTTAAGGTTTACTTTATTATCCATACTTCAGAAAAAAAAAACATGATAAAATGTGAGTATCAAATACAATCATCAGGCTTTTGAGGAACTTTTTTTGTTCATCTCTCAATCATCGTGGTTTTGCATTGCATTATATATTTTGAAACTACATATTTTAGATCATAAAACTAAGCATATAAATATCATCTTACTAAGACATATTGAGATTTAGAGTGACAACTGATATTTATATGCAGTTTTGAAGTAGTCTGCCATACTGTTATAAAGATCTCATTGATTTACATTACAAGCCATCAGAATTTTTGGCCATATAAATATCAGATACTGCAACAAATTGTATATTTTTACTCAGTTTGGTTGTATGAGCTGTTTTTTCTTCCTTTTGAGCTCCATATTCTCACACTACTCAAAACAAACACATTAAAACACGAGCATTTTGTTTTTAAATTTTGTCTAAAGGTTCACTAAAAACTGTTCCATTAAAATAAATAAATAAATACAAATTCTGGCTATTATTTCATATGTCAGAACCATAGTTGACCATAGCTGATAATACCAATAAAGTGTGTTTATGTTTTTTTTTTCTGGTTTCAGAGTTAGTATGCACACTAGAGATCGCATTCATCCTGGACAGCTCAGAGAGTGCGAAGAGCCTTCTGTTCGATCGAGAGAAAGCGTTTGTGCGCTCCTTCAGCAAGCGGGTGGCACAGATGCAGGTGTCCGACTGGCATCTGAAAACCCGTATGGCACTCATCTACTACAGCAGCTCAGTCCATATCGACCAGCACTTCAAAGACTGGCAGGAGCTTGATGTCTTCCTGAGCAGATTGGCGGACACCATCTACATCGGCCAGGGAACGTACTCCACATACGCCATATCCAACGCCACTCAACTCTTCACCAGCGAGACCAAGGAGCAAAGTGTGAGGGTTGCCCTGCTCATGACCGACGGCATCGACCATCCGCGGAATCCTGACATCATGACGGCGGTCGCCGAGGCCAAAGGCCACAACATTAAGATCTTCACAATTGGCTTATCAAACTTGGCAAAGGACAACGTGAACAGTGCCAAACTGCGGGTCATAGCGAGCAGCCCAGCGCAGCAGTACTTCCACAGCCTCACTGACCCCAAACTGGAGGAACGGCTCCTGCAGCAGCTCGTGAGACATTCACTTCATCTGTCAGACTCATCAGACATGATGAGCCCATATTATAAATACAAATAAATGATCAATTAAAAATATAATGGAAAGTAAAAGATGCATTCAGATAGCACAATTAAATTATACAATAAACAAAAACAGTCAATACTGAATTGAGCATTTTGCATCAAATGAAGTCATGATTTTATCACTTTGTGCAACAGAGTATGCTAATATAAATGATTAATTACTATAATAAAAAATATAAAAAATTGTATATTTCATGAAACACACACATATAACTTCTATATATATAATTTCTATGCAAACACACAAAATCACCCTTTGAATTAAAAGGATATTAATTAATTACTTATTATAATTAAAATGTTTAAGAATATTAAAAATCTAATATAAAAATCGATTAATGAATTCTATAAATATAATAAAAAATGTAAAATAAAATGATTTGTATATATAACACAAAATCACCTTGTGCAACTTTCATATATCATATATCGACAATTCATATATCATGTGTAATATATTTTTATTTCAATTTTATTTTAATTATCTGTGCAGCCTTAAACCTAAAGAGAGAAATTAACAAACAAACAAGTAAAAACACAAATGGCCCACTAATACTCTGGAGTATGAAGTTTTGCATTCCAGAGCACGTTTTAATAATAAAACAAAAAATAAAAAGAAACACAAAGAAACTCTATGAAAATTAAAAACCATCTAACACAGTATAGTTTTGGATAATTCTAAATTCTGAATCTAAACTTCTTGATTGCTTAAAATCTAAACTGCTTGATTGTTATATCATCTAAAAATATAAACTATATTAGCCATGAATAGCCATGTTCGTGTAAAATGCTGATTAACACACACCTGTGATTTAGGTCAATAAGAAACCACC